GAAATTATGAACTGGAAGAACATTGAAGAGATCGATGCATTGAGACCTTAGTTCCTCACATGAAGGTTCTGCAGCTGTTCAGGTTTGGATCTCTAAGTTCGGAACCAAAGGGACTTAAGGAGTTAATTGTTACGCTGTTAGGAAAAGACTGTTATTAGGTAGGAATTCATTGATCATTTAAAATCATAATTTTTCAGCTAGCCATTAGCAGTTCTGCATCTGAATATACACCCTAAAGGAACGACGGCCTGATCTTAAAATAAATCTAGATAACTGGTTGGTTTTTCTTTGGTCTCAGTTTAAAGTTGGACACGTCTCCTCGGTTTTCTAAGACACAACGATGGGATGACAAAAGTATTTCGCTGATGCTCCTTTTTTTCATGATGATGACGAAAAGCTAAACATGGATCTTTGATGAATAAAATATGTCAAGTCATAGATTTGAGTTTTAGTCAACGAGATGAGACTAAATAAAAATTATCGGATGGTCCGTCAGACGTTTGAAATGCATCATTGTGCTGTAATCCTCTAAGCAGTATCAGCCGCGCTGCTGCGTCCGGTTTGATCGGGCCATCCCCCCGCCGTGTAGCGCTGCTCATTCTGCAGGTGCACAGATGGATCATGGCAGCAGCAGCAGGGGAGAAAATAACCCAGAATGATCCAGTACTGCGCGCTGAACTCTGACTAACTCTGCTCTTCCAGCTGTGCTTGTGCAGAAATGCTCAGGGTCTGCGCTTTACGCTCCACTCTGATGGTTCGCTCTCAGCGGTACGGCTCTTCCTGCTCTCGCTATTTGATAAACTAGATGTGGCTGATCATCCTCTGCCAAGCGTAATAAATCCCTTTGTCTGACTATCAAGATTTTATTCCTTCCAGCTCACAAGAGGTGATGCTAAACATTCTTTAATTTCTACCAAAATGAATCCCTAAATAAAGCAAACATTTAATTGCATTCTGTTTCTTTTTAAATAAAGATCCAGATGAAAAGGTTCATAGATCTTTGAATATTTTTCTCTCATTGTTCTCATTTCTATTTAAATATGATGGAAAAGTTTCCTTGTATCGTCATTGAAACATTTTCTCTGTTTCCTTTAAAAATGTCAACATTTTTGTAGCATATTCATTCAGTTTAGGTCTGGGTTGCCATGGCATTACGAGGTAATTATGGAGGATCTCTCTGTATTTTTTTATATCAAACCCTGTGAATTTAAATCTACTTTGAACCCTGAGCAGCAGTTACTAATGGGTCATTCTTTAGAAATAAAGCAGAAATTGCCAAAGTAGAAAGAAGAATGTTTTTGTTCTCAGCTTTTTTGGAGTAATGCAGATGTTATTGATCTGTGTTTAATTCATACTTCATAGCAGATCAGGAAGTGTTTGCTTTGGGATGGAAACCTTGGATGTCTAAAATCATTCCTTTATTGGGGATTTTGTCAGCTTGTCTGTCTGCTATATTATCCAATATGATGTGTTGAACTAGATTTGCTGTTTTCACAGCTTTTGTGAGACACTTTTTTATAAAGTAGGGCATTAATTCATAATAAAATTTATTTGAATTCTATAAAATAAAGATTTCAGCCAAACAGCAATGATGATCTTCCCAGCAGCTTTCTATACCCAGCTATTGTAGCATCTAGGATAGAGCTGCAGGCTGGGAAGGAATTTGGTTGTTATTCTAAATCGTAAAGGTTCACTTTTTTTGCAACATAAAACTGATTAAAAACTTTTTAAGATTTAGTCGACTAAAACCGACTAAAACTATCAGATATTATAATGACTAAAATGCTACTAAAACTAATAATAGTTTTCGTCCTGAAGACTAAGACTAAATCTAAAATGGCTGTCAGAAAAAACACTGTTAGGAGGTCTGATGCAGCGGCGAGCGAGTCAGAAATGATCCTTTTAACTTGATCTTTGAGAACAGCTAAGCTTATTAATACAGGACTGTTCAAAGAAACTATCTGTTAAAACGGTAACATGAAGTAAAAACTGAATAATAACAGCGGCAGTGAGTGGTGTTATTAATTTCATACAACCTTATTATTTAATAGGAGGTTCTCTCTGAGCTCCAGAAGCTCACATAGGAAGGAGTTTAGCTCCGTAAATACGACCTTATAATGAAAAGCTGATGCTGAGGTGAAGGTTTGCTAAACCTGCAGGATGGAGACGTTTGAACACAACAAAGGATTTCATTTAAGGACAAACAGGATAAAACAGGATAATACACTCATTACTTCATATATTTACAATTAAAATACAACAACCAAAGGTTTTAAAACTGGATTTTATAGAAATGTTCCAACAATGGAATTAGCTAGAAAATCAAAAATGGGCTTAGTCTGTTTTAAAGGTTTTAAAATCAAAGGAGGATGAGGTTGTAGTTATAACACTGCAAAAATGATCTAGAAATAAGTACAAATTTCTTAAATTAAGTTTATTTTGCCTTAATTTGAGTATATAAATAACATGATTTGCCAATAGAATTAGTATTTTACTCTTAGAATAAGATAATTAGATTTTATGCACATGAAATAACTCTATGCAATTGTTTTTTTTCTCAATTTGAATGTACATTTTATTGTTCCAAGGTGTCTCCCTTTCCTCCTCAATTGTAGAAAAAGGTAACTTATTTCAAGAAAAAAGGACTCACTTACATTTCAATTTTTTTGCAGTGTAGCATTAGCTGTCAGAAGAAAATCTGAATGTTTCATTTTAATCAGAATGAACAGGTAGATGTGATTCAGTTCTGCAGATGCATGCTTCATTTAAAGAGGTGTGAACTATTTTAACCCCCTGACTCTGCAGTCAATACACCATTTACCATAGCTAGAGGCTTACCTAGCATGAGCGCACAGAGCGCAGGCCGCCTGCCGTCGTCCATGAAAGAGCGGCAGAAAAGAAAACATTTTTCCTCACACAGAACGAGACGCAGACCCTGAGGCGTCTTTTTAAAACGTCTCTCCAGAATGAGCTGGAAAGTGGAAATTTTAACCACCCTGAACCACAAAACAAAAAGCATTTCACTTCTAACAGCATCCAGTGCCTAATAACACACTTATTGTCATTCGGAGCACGTCTGGACCGACACTCCAAATACAGGTGCTGGTCATAAAATTAGAATATCATGAAAAAGTAGATTGATTTCAGTAATTCCATTTAAAAAGTGAAACTTGTATATTATATTCATACATTACATACAAACTCATATATTTCAGATGTTTATTTTGTTTAATTTTGATGATTACAAATGACAACAAATGAAAATCTCAAATTCATCATATCAGAAAATTAGAATATTACTGAAGACCAATAAAAACAAAGGATTTATAGAAATGTTGGCCAACTGAAAAGTATGAACATGAAAAGTATGAGCATGTACAGCACTCAGTATTTAGTTGGGCCTCCTTTGGCCTGTATTACTGCAGCAATGCGGCGTGGCATGGAGTCGATCAGTCTGTGGCACTGCTCAGGTGTTATGATAGCCCAGGTTGCTCTAATAGTGGCTTTTAGCTCTTCTGAATTGTTGGGTCTGGTGTATTGCATCTTCTTCTTCACAATACCCCATAGATTTTCTATGGGGTTAAGGTCAGGAGAGTTTGCTGGCCAATTAAGAACAGGGATACCATGGTCCTTCAACCAGGTACTGGTAGCTTTGGCACTGTGTGCAGGTGCCAAGTCCTGTTGGAAAATGAAATCTGCATCTCCAAAAAGTTGGTCAGCTGCAGGAAGCATGAAGTGCTCTAAAACTTCCTGGTATGTGGCTGCGTTGACCCTGGACCTCAGAAAACACAATGGACCAACACCAGCAGATGACATGGCACCCCAAACCATCACTGACTGTGGAAACTTTACACTGGACTTCAAGCAACGTGGATGAAGTGCCTCTCTTCTTTTCCTCCAGACTCTGGGACCTTGATTTCCAAAGGAAATGCAAAATTTACTTTCATCAGAGAACATGACTTTGGACCACTCACCAGCAGTCCAGTCCTGTTTCTCTTTAGCCCAGGCAAGACGCTTCTGACGCTGTCTGTGGTTCAAGAGTGGCTTGACACAAGGAATGCGACAGCAGAAACCCATGTCTTTCATACGTCTGTGTGTGGTGGTTCTTGAAGCACTCACTCCAGCTGCAGTCCACTCTTTGTGAATCTCCCCCACATTTTTGAATGGGTTTTGTTTCACAATCCTCTCCAGGGTGCGGTTATCTCTCTTGCTTGTACACTTTTTTCGACCACATCTTTTCCTTCCCTTCGCCTCTCTATTAATGTGCTTGGACACTGAGCTCTGTGAACAGCCAGCCTCTTTAGCGATGACCTTTTGTGTCTTGCCCTCCTTGTGCAAGGTGTCGATGGTCGTCTTTTGGACAACTGTCAAGTCAGCAGTCTTCCCCATGATTGTGTAGCCTATAGAACTAGACTGAAAGACCATTTAAAGGCTTTTGCAGGTGGTTTGAGTTAATTAGCTGATTAGAGTGTGGCACCAGGGGCCATCAATTTTGAACCTTTTCACAATATTCTAATTTTCTGATATGATGAATTTGAGATTTTCATTTGTTGTCATTTGTAATCATCAAAATTAAACAAAATAAACATCTGAAATATATGAGTTTGTATGTAATGTATGAATATAATATACAAGTTTCACTTTTTAAATGGAATTACTGAAATCAATCTATTTTTCATGATATTCTAATTTTATGACCAGCACCTGTATATCATCATTGCTCCAGTTAAAGGCCCTCATGTAAAACCAATGATTTATGTTGTTCTGTTTTCTTCTAAGACTCCTGCATTGAATTAACTCCCCTGAATGTGAAGTTAGCAGAAGATGACAGGAGATGACATCATCTGTGGTGGGGTGGGGGGGCGCTGATAAAGCTGTGTAATCAGGTGAGCCCAGTCTGTGCTCACATGGCTGACCAGGCCGCGCTTTCACAGACGCCCAGTGTTGTGCAGATGATGCAAAGTGGGGAAGAGAGAGAAGGAGCACAGCTGCTTGGTTACCTGATACTGATTGGCCTTGGCGAGCTCCTGGTTGGCCGACTCCACGTTGGAGGATGTGGTCTGGATGTAGTCCTCAATGCTGTCTGAAGAGAAAAAGACCATTTCAGTCTCTTTCCATACATCAGTCTGCGTCATGCTGGCAGGCAGAAACACACAGCTGGATTTTAGGCCTTATTAAGAGGTGGTTTAGTGTCTCACTGGGTTTAAAGATGATTTTATTTTAATGAAATCCAGTTTAAAATGACAGAATTTGCAAACGCTGAAGGTCACTCCTCCTCCTACCACAGGTCTGACTGGGACGAGGGAAACCAGTGAAGGCAGAAGGATCAGAAACATCAGGTTTATTGCAACATTATCCCAACCTGACATTTTACAGAGTCAGACAGGCCTACATATCAGAGGGATGCAGGATCTGCTGTAAAGCTTCTGTGACATTTCTCCCAAACCAGGCTGTTCTCCTCATCATGCATCAAAGGTCCTCCTCACTCCTCCATCTGCAGGTAGAACCATGCAGGCCCAGAAAGCCTGTTTTCAGAACCACTAATTATCATCGAAGCAACAAACTAGACTTTATATCTGCAGAGATCAAGAACTGCTTTTATAAATAAATATTCTGCCAAAATCTACTAACAATCACAATAATGATGAGACATAGCTGAGAATGAGAGGTTTATAAATACAGGTGGGCCGGCAGCCAGTGGAAGACCTCGTTTCATGTCACCATCTTTGGTCACGGTAAAGGAAAGTTGACTAACTGGTTAAAGATCTATCTATCTATCTATCTATCTATCTATCTATCTATCTATCTATCTAGCTAGCTAGCTAGCTAGCTAGCTCTATATAGCTAGAGTTATGATCTTGGCCTAATTACTCGTTTCATTCACCTGTCTAACTCTGCCCAGTTTTTCATTACCATTCATCTGCTCCTGCCTCTATTTAACCTGCCAGCTACCATTCATCAGGGCATTATCTTTGAACTCAAGCCAGCGTCACTGGGCCAGATTATTCTCGAGCCAGTTGTGAGAGTTATTCAATGTTACCTGAGTGTTTCTGATGACCGGATCCTGACCTGTTCTGCCACTCAACCACTGTGCCTGCCTGTTCCCATCCAATCGTTTTGCCTGACCTGTCTATGAAATCCTGCTGAATTCTGCCTGTTTGCTGAACTTTGAGCCGCTTCCTGTCACTGATCTGATCTCCCTCTTGAACTTCTTCGTACTTCCGGCGTTGTGGTTCTTAATCCTCAGCAAGTCCTCGATCCCGGCTTTGGCTTCAACCTCCGGGTTACCCTGCCTTCATTTGTCTGCTCGGATCTGATCTCCTTCTTGTGTCAGGTTAATGTTTCTGTTATGCTTTTTTTCTTTTGAGCATCCAGTTTTGCTTTGCTCCTTGTTTTCTAGTTTTAGTGGTTTTAATTTTTATTTTGCTGTGTTCTTTGGTTTATTCCCAGTTACTTTCCTAGTCTTGGTTCTGTTATGTTTTCTTTTGAGTGTTTAGTTTTCTTTTCTGCATGTTTTATTGTCCTAGTGGTTTATTTATTATTTTGTTTCTATTTCCAGTCTTCCAGGTTTTTTATTTGTTGCTCTCTGCTGCCCTCTTATGGTCTTCTTTTTCCCTAGCTCTTTCCCTCTCTTGTTCTGTGCACACCTGCTCCCAGTTTCCTCATTAGCCCTCTCTTTGTCTCAGCCCTCTCTCTTCCATTCCTCTTTGCTGGGTCCTTGTCAAACCTCGTCAGTCTTCCTCCACTTCGTCTCTCTGAGCCCTCCTTGTGATTTTGATTCCCTGATGTCTCCTTGGTTTTTTGGTACGTTTTGACTTTGTTTTTTTCTTATTTTTTTATCTGTGGACTTCATGTCTGTTTGGACTTTGTTTTCCTTTAGATTTTTTGTATTCCTGGTTTCTCTGTTCATTTGGACTTTGGTTTTCATTTTGCATTTTTTGATAACCTGCCTCTGTTTTCAGTTTTTTATTATTCATCATTAAATCACTTTAAAGATTCACCTCTACCTTCCTGCCTCTACCTTTGGGTCGTCAACCCCCAAACAAATCCTGACAGCTTGTCCTCCATCTTCTGGGACTACGGCGTCTGGGACTCTATGAGCGGCGCCCCCTGCGTCTTGTTGTCAGCTAACGGCTGGTTACATGCAGAGAGGGAATTTCCCCATTGTGGATCACATTTACATATTTAACGAATGCATGGACTAGTTTCTCAGCATCACCCCTGGACAGGAGATTTCTCATTTTTGCAATACAGGTGCTGGTCATAAAATTAGAATATCATGAAAAAGTAGATTGATTTCAGTAATTCCATTTAAAAAGTGAAACTTGTATATTATATTCATACATTACATACAAACTCATATATTTCAGATGTTTATTTTGTTTAATTTTGATGATTACAAATGACAACAAATGAAAATCTCAAATTCATCATATCAGAAAATTAGAATATTGTGAAAAGGTTCAAAATTGATGGCCCCTGGTGCCACACTCTAATCAGCTAATTAACTCAAACCACCTGCAAAAGCCTTTAAATGGTCTTTCAGTCTAGTTCTATAGGCTACACAATCATGGGGAAGACTGCTGACTTGACAGTTGTCCAAAAGACGACCATCGACACCTTGCACAAGGAGGGCAAGACACAAAAGGTCATCGCTAAAGAGGCTGGCTGTTCACAGAGCTCAGTGTCCAAGCACATTAATAGAGAGGCGAAGGGAAGGAAAAGATGTGGTCGAAAAAAGTGTACAAGCAAGAGAGATAACCGCACCCTGGAGAGGATTGTGAAACAAAACCCCTTCAAAAATGTGGGGGAGATTCACAAAGAGTGGACTGCAGCTGGAGTGAGTGCTTCAAGAACCACCACACACAGACGTATGAAAGACATGGGTTTCTGCTGTCGCATTCCTTGTGTCAAGCCACTCTTGAACCACAGACAGCGTCAGAAGCGTCTTGCCTGGGCTAAAGAGAAACAGGACTGGACTGCTGGTGAGTGGTCCAAAGTCATGTTCTCTGATGAAAGTAAATTTTGCATTTCCTTTGGAAATCAAGGTCCCAGAGTCTGGAGGAAAAGAAGAGAGGCACTTCATCCACGTTGCTTGAAGTCCAGTGTAAAGTTTCCACAGTCAGTGATGGTTTGGGGTGCCATGTCATCTGCTGGTGTTGGTCCATTGTGTTTTCTGAGGTCCAGGGTCAACGCAGCCACATACCAGGAAGTTTTAGAGCACTTCATGCTTCCTGCAGCTGACCAACTTTTTGGAGATGCAGATTTCATTTTCCAACAGGACTTGGCACCTGCACACAGTGCCAAAGCTACCAGTACCTGGTTGAAGGACCATGGTATCCCTGTTCTTAATTGGCCAGCAAACTCTCCTGACCTTAACCCCATAGAAAATCTATGGGGTATTGTGAAGAAGAAGATGCAATACACCAGACCCAACAATTCAGAAGAGCTAAAAGCCACTATTAGAGCAACCTGGGCTATCATAACACCTGAGCAGTGCCACAGACTGATCGACTCCATGCCACGCCGCATTGCTGCAGTAATACAGGCCAAAGGAGGCCCAACTAAATACTGAGTGCTGTACATGCTCATACTTTTCATGTTCATACTTTTCAGTTGGCCAACATTTCTATAAATCCTTTGTTTTTATTGGTCTTCAGTAATATTCTAATTTTCTGATATGATGAATTTGAGATTTTCATTTGTTGTCATTTGTAATCATCAAAATTAAACAAAATAAACATCTGAAATATATGAGTTTGTATGTAATGTATGAATATAATATACAAGTTTCACTTTTTAAATGGAATTACTGAAATCAATCTACTTTTTCATGATATTCTAATTTTATGACCAGCACCTGTATTCCTCAGATGAAAGAAGGAAATCCTAGAAACCTCTTTGATATGTGATTTAAATGACAGGTCCTGATCAAAAACAACACCAAGATTTTTTACTTTATTATCTGAAATCAGTTTAATCCAACACTGCCAAAACGATCTAAAAATAAGTCAAAATTTCTTACATTAAATGTATTTACCCTTCATTTCAGTGGGTGAATGCCAAACAAATTAGTATTTTTATTTTTAAAATAAGATAATAAGATAATATGCTTGTGGAATAAGACAATGCAGTTGTTTATTTCTTATTTTAAATTTAACTCGTCTTGTTCTATTGGCAAAGTTTCTCACTCACCTCCTGAATTAAAGAACAGATGCATTTATTTGAAGAAAAAATTAACTATTTAGATTTCAATTATTTTCACGATAAACTAATTTATCTGCTCTCTTAAAGCTACAGTATCTGATCATTTTAGGGGTTTTACTGACAGAAATGTAATAATTTATACGTCTGTCTGTTATAAATTATCATCTATAAACTCATCGTCTCCATATTTGCCTTGCTTTAGAAATTACCATTTATAATAACATAGGAGGGGGTTCTCAGGTAGGGAGGCAGACTTTTAGAGCTACGGCAGCTCAGAGCTGATAAACTATTAACTGAAGAGATCTCCATCACGCTGGAATGTGAAAAAAACAGATGATTAAATATGAAGAACAATCAGAAGGGATTATTTAAACTAACCTAAAATCTGTTGGATCTGTAATATTTCCAGAGAAACTTCCGACGTGTTCAGACTGTAAAGCAGGGAGTCTTTTCAAATGCAGGTTTTAACAGCAGCTTTGTTTCCTGTAGTGCTGTTTGTTTGCTGACTGTTTATCTTCACTCAAAGCCTTTGATTTGGTGTTGCCCGTATTCATGCGCCTTCCTGAATAGGCCATAAAAGCACTAATCCCTTCTTCCACTGTCTATTCATTTCTTTGTATTACCTGCTGCTTTCCCTGCACACGCCTCCACACATCACAGGCTCCTATTATTCATATTTGCTGCTGTACCAACAGAGCTGCATGTTCACAAAGAGGCCAACGGCAACTCAGTGCCTCCCTGTTTAATGGGAAAAGGTCCATTATTGCCTGAGTCAGTGCAGATCAGATTGGAGCTCTGCTGTGGGATAATAAACTTGGTGCTTTTCCTCTTCTATCTACCTGCTCATCAGCTAAAAACACACAACAGTTGGACTTG